GATATGCAATTGCTAGTGTGGAAATATGGGGAAGCAAAAAAGGCTGGAAAAGTGTCTTGTTTTTTCCAAACAGGAAAAAACCCAAAAAAGAGTACCTCCTTGTCTCCTAACTGGATCTGTCAATGGAGGGTTTGCAGCTGTCTGCATCTTCTGTGCTCATATCCAATACCATGTCCCATTTAAATATACTCTACTGTGTAAGTTAAGGTAGCAAACTTCTGGGAAGGACTCTGGTCGGTGGTCAGATGTGGTCATCCTTGATCCTTCAAGACAAGCAAATGAAATGAACTCATTCAAAAGCTGTAAAATATTTAATCTTCTGCTCCAGTGTCCCACAGAATATACATATTATTGTTAGCTAGCTTTTTCCTTCTTCTCTCTTCCGTCTTTGATACTCATACCACACCCTTTTTGTTTTTTCTTTTATTCATAGTTCTTTAGTTTGTTTATTTTTCATTTCATTGAAGATACAGCAGTCAAAGGGAAAAGAAAGCAGGAGAGTATTAAAACAAGAGGTCAACATGAAAGTAGCAAGTGCCTAGAAAGAATATTTGGTGCAATCTGAAGAACAAGAAAGAGAAGATCTGGCCTAGAGCTATGTGAATAGGGTAAATACAAGAAGGTAGTAAACTGCCCTAGAGTTAAGTGTGTAGGTTACATGTAGTAAATATATGCAAATCTGTTACCTTTCACATATTAATGAATCTTCTCCAGCTATGCTTAAGCTGCGTTATACTTGTTCATAAAATTCATCTGCACGGATGTTCTTAGAGTGACTTTGAAAGCTGTGTGTGTTGTTGCTCACCAGAGAAGTGCAGTTTAAATTCATTGGTGTGCATGAACCTGTTCTGGAAGTGTGTCCTGGCATTCTGGGCACAGAGACTGTCACAGGCTTCTCAGGCCTCTCCCACCCCATCTTCATGGTAAAGGCAGCAAATGGCACATACAGTTTAACTATTTGGGTGTGTCTCATACTGGTCCAGAAAGAAAATTCTAGATAAGTCTTTTTCTCATTTTTCTGACATGTAGATCTCTGCATTATGGAACAGGTAAAAGTAAGTGTTGGATTCTGTACTTACTTATGCTGGTAATACATATTTGGGGCAGCTCCCTTAGGATAAACTGCACAGAATCCTTCCATGCAGTTCTGAAGGAAATTGCAAGGCATCTAAACACACAGAACCATTTTCATTTTGTATAATCAGGAGAGGGTGAAGAGTAAGAAAGTAGTGGAGTAGGACCCCCACTATGGTCTGGGATCTGTGTTCCTTCTGTGGGGCAGCTGTGATACAAACCTCACCCTATGCCTGTTCCTCTGGCTGAAGCTGAATCCCTCTGCAAATGGAGCATTTTCAAAAAGCACTGGAGATGGTACTTCTTGAGACAAGGGAGTTGCCAGCACTGTAAATGCAGCAGGTGAAGTAGGTAGGAAAAACCCAGCCCTGGTCCCCAGGCAGGCCCCAGTGACTGTACCTGCTGTTCCTCTGTCCTTTGTCATACAAATACTTTGCATTTTCACGTTGTTGTGATATCATTATTGAACGAATTACAAAGAATGAAACCTTTAGGGTGGCAGGAGAGGTGGGCACAGGGAGCAGCGAGCTCTTGCTGCCTGTGAGCTGTTTAAAAGTTCAGGGGCTCCTGTCGCTGTGCTGGCTGGTTGCTAAGCTGCCGTGGATTTTTGTGCTCCTTTTCCTGGCAAAAGGGACCTTGTGATGAGGTACAAGGTTATGGCAGTGCCTTTTTAGTAAACTCACCCCCTCCTTTCTGCTTGCTGAGTGACTGGGTAAGGGAGGTGCTCTCAGGAGCATTTGCTTTCTTTCTAGGCTTCTTTCTGGCTGCTGAAGCAACTGATATATCCTGCCAAATCAAACCTAATGTTTTTTCTTAGGGGAACAGAGTCACTGTTTAGTGAGCTGCCAGGGCACATTGGTTAACTAAGGCTTTCTAAAGGATCAGCAGAATTTGTACCATCTTCACCCCACTTGCATCTTCTTTGAACTCACAGCAAAGCACATTTACTTAGTGCTTGGGTGAAAATTACCTAGCAAAGTATAGAGCTGTTTCATGAGATTATATTTTAACCCTGCTTTCCTTCAGCTGTCTCAAGCAGCAGGAACTTTCATGTACCTCTGAGATATAATAGCAGCCGATGCTGCCAGGCCTTACAGTGGAGCAAATATTCAAAAATAGTCTTATCCTGTACCAGAAAAGTTGAGAAAAAGATTCAACATGAGAGCAAACTGGCTTTTGGGAAGGAGGAGGATATGATTGCCCAGATAAAGTGTGCTTTCTCGCTGTTCAACTTCATTTACAGAGTCTACAGCCTGTACTATCCACCATACAGATAATTAGAAAACAGCACTGGGGTTTAAGCAAATGAAGTTTCCTACCCTCCGAATGAAATTGTCAGGTTGACATAATAAGTGCTTTTAGACATGTGCAGCAACAAGAAAGGTAATAATTTAACTTGCCTATTAGTTCAGTGGATGTGAAAGGCACAGCACTCCTTGAAGCTAGTGGGGAGTCAAGGAGATGAGGTCTGCACTAATCTGCTATAGGGAGGCTGGGTGGCCTTTTCATGTTGGCCAGGCATTTTTTATAATATGGTTGTTTTCTGTTGCTTGTAATCTCATTAAATGTTTGCTGGCAGGGTTCTGGGAAAATAACAGCAAGTAACCATGTAACCAAACACCTAATCTATGTTTACTTAGCCTGATATGCCATCAAATTCTTCCCAAGTACGTTAATGTACAGCTAAAAATGTGAACTGAGCTGAGGCTTGCCTGGGAAGTGGGGCCAGAGATCTGGGCTGAGGCCATGCCACCCAGCTACTGCTGTTTGTGCATTAAAATTAGTTAGGGCTCTGTATGTGGAGATCTGAACATTTTTGTATGTATTTCTTGTTATGGAAGGGCTATTGTTATCCATTCTGGCATTCCTGGAAGTTCCTCTTCCACCCTAAATAATCAAAACTTGAAAAAGAAAACCAAACCAACCAACCAACCAAAAAAAAAAAAAAAAACCACTAAAGAGAAAAAAAACAACTCCCCAAAAACCCCTTAATTCCTGTAGAAGGGGCAATGAAAGATACTGCTTAGACCCAAAATAAGGAGCTTCTCCCTGCAAAGACTCTGCAGAAGTGCCCAGGATCCCCCTGTGTTGGATCATGTGCTTATGCAAACTCCATCTAACTATATTACTAGCTTTCAACATGTTGTGGTTTTTGTTTGTCATACCTGTTTTCTCCTATTTTGCTCACCTTTGAGTTTGGCAGTGTGTATATGTTTTCTTAAAATAATTCTGGTTTTGGTTTTGAGCTGGGTATCTCAAGGAGGTCACTGAGGGACACTTCCCAAAGGTTCAGATGTGGTGGTGTTTAGGGCTAGTTCTAGAGTGTCTTGCTGTTTTGGGTCAGGAAGATCTGGGCTTTGCAGAGTCAAGCCTTGAGCATCACCTGTCTGAGCAGCTTCAAGGACTGAGGATGCACACTTTAACCATGTAGCTGCTTTCTTGAATTGCCATTTTAAGTGGCTCTGTAGCCCTCTGACCTGCCGTAACAGGTAACACTTCCTGGGAAGCCTGTGGTTCTTGTCAGTGGGAATCTTGCATTCTCAGCATCTGTTGTATCGAGGTGAGATGGAAGGTATTTGAGCTTTCTCTTCAAGTAAAACTGAAAGGCATCCCAGATATTCTGCTTATGTCTTGAAAGTCTTTGATCCATCCAGAGGCTAAGGGCTTGCTGGTGATGGCAGAAACACGGGCTGAAATGTGGCACTGACAGCCAGCACTGTGTGTTCCTGCACTGAGAAAATTGGGGCACTTCAGGTCCCTTGGCTGAGCCCTGCCATTCAGTCACTGATGCAAAAGGACTGAGGGCTTTTTGTTGGTCCCCTCAGCAAAGCACATGACTCAGTTACTCACCAGGGGTACATCCAGTGGGTGTCAGTGGGTCTCCTGCAGTGTCCTGCAGCACCCAGTGTGTATTTAGAGACAATTTGATGGCCTGGATGCAGACACAGTTTTGATTTAAGTGGTTAGGAGAGGGGAACAGGCTAGCTCTAACCTTCTGTGAACTGTCCATGCTCACAAAATTAAGTTGCTGTGTCCTGCTGATTAGAGCTTTCATCTGGGGTTTAGCTCGTGAGAATACAGAGGACATTTTATCATCAGATCTGCTCTGATTGTGGAGTAAATATTCCCTTCCCATACAAAGGTGAAAGCTGTATTCTCTCAAACAAAACTTTCACACTAAACTGTGTACAAGGAAGAGTAGCTAGTTTGAGTATTGATTGCATTTGAAAATACAGTTCAGGCCAGGGATGGATGAGTGGGGAGCCTGCTGGATGTGGATGAGGACTGGCAGCAGTGAAGTGACTTGCACGTGTATGCAGTGACACGCAGGAGGGAAGAGGGTATTGTGTGCTAGGACGCGAGTACTGGACAAATCACCCAAATTATCATGAAAAGCATGATACCAGACACTGGCTCAAATCTTCATTGCCCTCTTGGTTCCAACAAATTTTCATAAACTGCATGTGAAAGAAACGCTCCCTTTTCTGCAGTAGGGATGGCTGAGGCAGTGTCTGCCCAGCCGTTTGGGTTACAGCATGTGCAGTGTGGCTGACCCTGGCTGTTTCTCTCCGCAGATGGCCACAGCCCCATGTGCCAAGTGGCCTTTTCCTGCAGTAGGGATGGCTGAGGCAGGATTTCTGCTCAGCCATTCATGTTACATCACGTGCAATCCGTCCTGACCCTGGCTGTTTCTCTCCGCAGATGGCCGCGGCCCCATGTGCCGAGCAGCCCTTTCCTGCAGTAGGGATGGCTGAGGCAGGGTTTCTGCCCAGCCATTCATGTTACACCGTGGGCAGTGTGTCCTGACTCGGGCTGTTTCTCTCCACAGATGGCCGCAGCCCCATGTGCCGAGCAGCCCGGGCCCACACCGGCCGTGAGGGCCGCAGCCAGGCGCTGTCCCTGAGGCGAGGAGCGCAGGCACCGCCATGGCCTCATCCCGCCGGGCCCGGCACGCTGGCCCTCCCGACGGAGGCTGGGGATGGATGATTGTCGCTGGCTGCTTCCTCGTCACCATCTGCACCAGGGCCGTGACAAGGTAAAGGCACTGCTGCTTGTCTTGCTGGCCTCTTTGTGGCATTAGCTTTCTTTTCTTTTCCGCCATAGGAAGAGGGTTTGTTATCTCCTGAAACCCCTAAGGCTGCTGGGACGACCAAGGGATTATGAGCCCTCTGGTTTTAGTCTCGCCTCCTCTGACAGCTGCTCTAGCTTTCAGCACCCGCTCCCTGATTTCTTACAGAATCAAGGCCAGGGGCAGGTAGAGCTATTTCAGGCTGGTGTGGTTTGCTGGGGAGGGAGGAATCATGTAGGGTCTCTTTGGGTTCGCTGTGTCCCTCTGACCCCACAGCCGTGCTCATTTTTGCCAGTCCCAGTGAATTATGTGATTCCTGAGTCAACGTGAAAATCATGTCAATACCCTCTTCTCCCACTGCGAGCATTTCAGACACTGTCCTACCTGAGAAGGTCTGAGCCCTAGAGAAGAGACTCCTCTCTGCACCCTTCTGGTATCCAAAATATGCAGAAAATATTTTCTCAAAATAGAAAGAACAGGAGAGAACAAGAACTAAACTGCTGCCTCGCATAAAAATAACGCAATCTGGGATGAGATTGCTTTCACAGTGACTTTGATGTCGACTGAAGATAGAGGAGCCTGGTGTGTGTGAACATGGACAATTTAGCTATATTAAGCAGAGAGTTAAGCACCCTGGTAAGTGAGGAAAACTTGTTGGGCAGTCAGTATAGTGGAAATACAGTGTTTCCTACCTAAAGTTCTTATTTCCTTTAAAATAAAGCTCCCAGATTTAGGGATCTTAAATCTTTAGGGATCTAGGGTCTTGGAGTCAACAGCACAGAAGGGGATAGAAACACTTACCCAGTGTTAGTTAATGCATACAAATGTACCAATTCCATAATAATGGCAGAGAATTCCAATAGGATTTAATTCCATGTTTGTGTGTGCAATGTGTTACATACAGGAAATAATCTAGCGGCTGGCACACATTAGACTACATAGAAGAGTGAAAGATGTGCAAGAAAAAAAGCTGAAGAAAGTGGTCATTCACTGATTTGGGAAAAGGCATCTTGTTGATCCAGAAAAGAGAATGAAATTATGCAACATTTTAATCTGTTCCTCTGCAGGGACATATTGAACAGTAACACTTGTCAAGTTGAGAAAGGACCTCTCCTGCAAACATTTTATTAAACTGCTGGAAGGTCCACAGGCTCCTGCTGTGTTTTGATTCTTTGTTTGAGAGGAGTTACTTTGCACTTGTCCATCCATGAGCACACAGCTGCAGGTGGGGTTTGCTCTGCAGGTGTTACATTGACCCTACCCTCACAGTTTGTGCGGGTGTGGGACAGTGAGCAACAAGGCCAGGGAAGAACTGTGAAGCCAGGGCTTTGTGTGCCAGGGAAGCAACATCATCATATGGGCTCTAAGTTACTGGGGAGAATTAGCATTTCAATTTCCTTTTAGTTCAAAATACCGAGTCATAAAAATTCTAGCAGCAGATACCCCAGCAAGAAACATGTGATGATATAATGTTCACAACCACAATTTTGATTTTCCCAGGAGCTGGAGAGGACCTTCAAGTGGGTACTTTTTATACCTGAAGAGTGAGAACAGTGTTTTCCATGAGGCAGATATTCCATGTTTAACTGACTGATGTTCATGTTTTTTGTCCTAGGTGCATCTCCATTTTTTTTGTGGAGTTTCAGGCATACTTTGGGCAGGATTATGCCAGAACTGCTTGGATCCACTCCATTGTGGACTGTGCTACGATGCTTTGTGGTGTGTATTACCCTTTCAAGAGTAATGTAGCTACTTTGGCATTGGCTCCATCTGTTTTTAGCATGCTCACAAGTTGGTGGAGTCAGCTGGGAAAGAGTGATACTGTGGGATCTCTGGGGTATGGTATATCCAAGCTGCTTCCCCCAACACAGTTCTGCAAGGGAGTGTCTTCATGAAAGAAGAAAAAGAAGCAGAACTTTGTTTTGTGAAATGATCTAATTTTTCAGAAATGTACTTTTGTTCAGGTCTATTGGGACACCTCATGTTTGAGAGCTATTAATTGAGCAATTGTTTCTTTTGCCTTTTGATTGGAGTCATATTTGAGATGTAGCACAGGATGTACATCTTGCCTCCAGATCAAGTCACAACCATCCTCCTTTTATCAAAAGTGTATATTTACAAATAGTCTTCTCTCTTAAAAGAAAATTTGCTATTATTAAAAATCATGTGCATCAACACAGCAGTTGTACTGAATTTCTCATGGGTTTGCTTTAAAGCTGTACAGCTTGGTGAAAATCCATGCCCTGGTCCTGTAGAAGAGATTAATCCATAAGAATTGCTAGAAAGGCAGAGGGGCACAGCAAGAATGAGATGCAACAACTCACCTGTGACAGCCAGGTTATATCTTGGGGAAAAGAGAGAAATAGGGGTATCCTTGCCCTGGCATTGCAGGTAGTAGAAGGGGAGAGGGTTGGTGATGGCATCCCATGGCAGAGGCAGGGTGGTATGGGAGTCATTGGAGTTGGAGAAATGCAGGAGAAGGGTAGCAGCCCTGGAGATTGTCCAAAAGATGTGAGACCTCTCCTGTTTGTGTCTAAGCCAGAGCCCATAATCCAGGGAGTTGTGAGGAAGGACACCTAAAGTTACTGAGGGCTGAAGTGCAAATTCCAGGTGGGGAAAAGTCTGAGTGTTGTAAGCATAACAGTGTGGGCTGTTCCTGTGACCTGTCTTGATCCCCTGACACTGCAGATTAGCTGTGTTCCATAATGACTTTGATCTACAGATACGGCAGCTGAGAAAGGTACTGCAAGTTTCAGGTTTACCCTGACTTTTAGAGGGTTTTTTCTTTATATTTGGTGCTCATGCCATTGTGAAAGGATTATGTTGGAAGACCACTCTGTAGCTGCAAACACCATTTTCTCCTGCTTCCTCCTGCTTCCTTTTCTTCCATAACTGTTGCAGTGAACTGTGTGTGAGGACCTGCCATTAACTCCAGCTTTATTTGTTTCTTTGAAGCCCCGCTTGGGAGTTTAATCAGTAATCATGTATCCTGCCAAGTTGGTATCATGCTAGGAGGGCTGCTTGCATCTACTGGACTAATTCTGAGCTCATTCGCCACCAGTCTGGAACATCTCTACTTATCATTAGGAGTCCTCACAGGTAGGATGCATTCAGCCCCTTTGTTGCTGCCAGAACACAAGACAGAAATGCTAAAAACAATGGGTGATCTCTTCTCCATGTCATACTGACACTGCACTGGTCAAATAGAGATACTCAGACCTGTTCCCATGATTGTAGACCAGAGGCTGTGCCAGCAAGAGCTTCAGCACTAACTGATCTCATATCACACAAATGCAGCACCCTGCAAAAGCAACTTAACCTTCTGATGGAGAGAGGACTGTCAATAAAGTTCTGAAGTTATGGGAGGTGAGGAAGAACTGCTGTTGCAGTTGGTGTACATGAAAAGGTTTCCCTGTTTTGACTGGGATTTGGGAGGAGTTTGTTATAGCAGAAGTTCTAGATTGCCCTAATTTATTTGCATATTTGGGAAAAACGTTTAAACTAAAACATAAATGTAAGTAAGAATAGAGGAGCTCTTGGTGAATACCAGGCACCTCAGCTGTATGCCTTACTTTTGTCTGCATTACATTCCAGTTGAACAGCAAAAAAAAATTGCTGGTTGGTAGTCTTGCTGTAGCAGCTCCTCCATTTTTGCTCAGGTATGGTGAAAACAAATCTTTGCTCTGTCCTATCTGCCTGTGTTTGTTGTGCACAGAGGAACTTGAGAGGGGCCTGTGGTCACACTGACATTCCTTCCTCATTAATACTGACCTGGTAGCCACGGTGATATAAGACCTTGTACTTGGTCCCCTGGAGTTTAGTAACGAGTTGGTGGAATTACTGCAGTTCACATGCTGCCAACAGCTTATTTGTTTCAAAAAAAAAAAAAAAAAATCCTTATTTTAGCGCCTGTTGCTCCTGTATTGCAATGTTAATCTTTGACAAAATGTGTTCACAACAAATAAAAAGGCTTCTTGTAATTCGAGGGACTGTGCTATAAACCACGCTAATACCTCTGAGGCTTCTTTAGTGGGGGCTGCTGTGAATACTGAGGTGGAAAGGCAGTTACAACTTACATGGAGTAGTAAAGAGCCAAGTTCATTACAAGCAGTGAACTTTTAGCCTGTGGGAGCTGATGAACAGAGAGGTGAACTGTTGGTAAAGGCTAGATGTGGTGCCCCCAACCCAGAGAGCAGATGGGAACACAACAAGTGAATGTCTAAATCCGTAAAAGCAGCAGGACTTGAAACCAAGGAGTGAAGCAGAGGTGAGATTGGGGAGTGTCAATAAGTAGCAGGGTTCCTTCTACGAAGTATGAAAATGTTTTCAGCCCTAAACTTTCCACTTTCCTCAGGACATTTGTTGGCTTTTTTGAGACATTTTCCCCCTGCCAACTCACTGAAAAATAAATGGTGTATATGCCTAATAAAGTATGATTTTCATAGCTCTTGAGTGATGATGTCTAGCTCAGGGCTGCTCTGCTGGCTCTGCTGCCTGTACAGCTCCAAGCCCAGCTCTGTGCCCTGCTTGTCCCCTCGGCTCCTGAGGGGTGCCAGACTGGGCACCCACTGCCCAGAGTCCCTCTAATCCTCTTATTCCATCCTGGCAGGTTTAGTGGCTGCCTCACACAGTGTGGCCTTTGAGGAGGATGTGGCAAGCCAGTTACAGCACTGGGGACTGTTTTATCCTCTATCAGCAAGTTCTGCCAAAGGCACTGGGGACTGTTTCACCCTCAACCTAGGACATGCTCCAAAACCCTAGTCAGGAACTAATTTCTATTACTGATTCAGAAATACATATTTTAGTGTTAGGGCAACCACTTGATGATTAAAACCTGCTCTCTGATTCTGCAGCAGAGACCACAATCTTTTTCTCCATCCAAGAGATGAATCTTATTTGTTTACTCAACTGGATCTGGCTTTCTGAGGCTTTCCTCCCCTCTTTACTTGTAGGCAGGGATTTAAAATGGTCAGGACTCCCAAGCAGCTGTTGCAAGGAGTTTGTTTAGCAGACCAAGAGAGGTTTTTTGTAGAATATTAGTAACAGAGACAGGCTCTTTGTACTGTGTTTCAGAGACCTGAAAATTAATGTTCAGGGTTGCAACAGACCAAAACACAAAGTGGTGCCTCATCAGGACAGTGTGTCCAGTGTCAGCATTGGTGCAGACCCTGGGGCAAGACCTCATCTTGTATGCATGAAAGGCTGGCACACCCATTCTCTCATGTTTAGTGATCCTCCTTGTTCTTGTTATGACCATTACTTCTGTCTGAGTCTTATTATTGTGGATTAATGGTCATCAGTTAGGTTTGTCAAGTCAGGGACCCTGCCAGTGGAAGAAAGACATCATCCTAGTTTCTCATCACACTCAGACTGGGCTGCATGATGCAGAATCAGAAAAAGCTTTCTATTCTTTGGTACTAATGAAAATGCATTATGTGGTTTGCTTTAATATGTTCCATATGTCATGCTTAGTATTAAGCCATCTGCACTTTGCTTTCTTTTCTAGGACTTGGATTTGCACTTTGTTATTCTCCAGCCATTGCGATGGTGGGCAAATACTTCAACAAAAGGAAAGCGCTGGCGTATGGAATAGCCATGTCAGGAAGTGGAATTGGTACCTTCATCCTGGCCCCTGTGGTCCAGCTCTTAATTGAGCAGTTTTCCTGGCGAGGAGCTTTGCTCATCCTGGGAGGTTTTGTACTAAACCTCTGTGTCTGTGGTGCCTTGATGCGGCCTATTTCTCTTAAGGAGGATTGTAAAACTGCTCCTGAGTTGCTTGAACAGAATTATGTCTCTGAAACAGAGAAACAAGACTTAAAGCGAATGTCCATCTGTTCACCTTTAATCAAATTATGGCCTCATGAATGTTTATGCTACTGTTCATGGAAGGAATATGACTTTTTGCTGATGCCAGGCTTCATGGTGCTGGCAGTGTCAATTTTATTTATGGCATATGGCTGCAGCCCTCTTTTTGTCTACCTAGTGCCTTATGCTTTGAGTGTTGGAGTGAGTCATCACCAGGCTGCCTTCCTCATGTCCATACTTGGTGTCGTAGACATCATTGGTAATATCACCTTTGGATGGCTCACAGACAGAAGGTAAGGGCTTCTGGCTGATCAAGGGGAAGCTTTAGCTGGTGGGAGGCTGGATGCAAGCAAGGTATAATACATATAATAGCTAACATTATGTACCCTTTCTCTAGCATGTGTAACTTAAAAACCCCCAACAGAGTCTAACTTTCAGGAATGCTTGCCATTTAATCTTTTTGTCTCTTTTGAAATTATTCAGTTGGTTTAATATCCTTTTTTCCTGAAAAAATGGTGTGTTTGTATATTTGATAGTGGAAATGCAACCCCTTGCCTGAGGTATGTTGGGTGTGATTCTCCATATCTATTTCCAAGGGGGTTTCACCCTGTTTCCTCTGCTTTTCCATCTCTTTTGTGTTGCTTGGGAGGCACAGAAGTTATAGAAGAGGGTCCAGGGTCTGGCCCAATATTGTTAGGCATGTGCTAGGAAGGACTGACTGAAAATTGTTATACATTTTCCAGTATAAGAACTCACCATGCTTTGTGAACTCAGCTCACTCCGAACATCAGTGTACAGTATCTGTAACATCAGTAGATACTGGCCAAATTAGCAAGGATTTTGATTCTAAAGTATGCATTCTTTGCACTTCTTTAGTTTGTGGGAGAAGTCATTGTTTTTGTGAAGCAGGAAGGGAGGGAATTGCCATCTCACTTAATTCACACTAACTTGCATTTAAGGGCTGACTGGAAAGGTGGCAGCTAAGAGAGCTATACTGCAATATTTTATGCATAATACTGGGAGCACCTTGCTGAGCTGGGATGTAAAGCCCAATGAAATACTGCTTTGAACATTGAAACTTTATGAGTCTGCAAAATCCTGGCAGCAGGGCTCTGTCACTAGGAACATCCTGAAGAACACAGCCGGCACCAGGCTGCTGCTGGCCAGGTGTTTCTGCAGCTGTAGGTGGGCAACTTTCCTGACCTGGGCTTGTCTGCTGAGTGAAGGCTTGTGTAAGGCAATTGACTTGATCTGAGCCATAGAAAAGAGAGAGAGACTGAAGCACTGCATGCCAGGGCATAGAAGCTGAAATGCTGGTTTCAGTGATAATATTTTTCTTTTCTGTTTTGAAATTTGCAGGTGCCTGAAGAAACATCGGTACTTTTGCTACCTCTTTGCTGTGGGAATGGATGGCCTCTCTTGTCTTTTCCTGCCAGTTCTCCAAAGCTTCCCCTTGCTTGTGCCTTTCTCATTTACCTTTGGCTACTTTGATGGAGCCTATGTAACGCTGATCCCTGTTGTGACAGCAGATGCAGTGGGAACTCCTTTGTTATCATCAGCACTGGGCGTTGTGTATTTTCTCCATGCCATACCATATCTAGTGAGCCCACCTGTGGCAGGTCAGTTTTGCCAAATGACTTCCCCACAACCTTATCAGTACTTCAGATTTACCTATTGATGTAAAGGGGAAGGAAAGTTAGCAAATGTATAGCGAATGTGAAGGCAGCCTCTGGGTAAAGGAATAACACACCTGGACATTCTTAACTCTTTAGATTTCCCATCCTGGCCTTGGTGGGATGATTTCCAAATACAGGGTGAGATGAAATTTAAAAAACAAACCAGTATGAAATAGGCTTCTAAGCGCGGCTACATCAGCACTTCTCGTAGTTTAGAAACTGTGCAAGTAGAAGGAGTAAAAGATTCCACTGTGAAATTACATGATTTTGTAAAATCTAAATCTCTCTAAAGAGAGTTTAATTCCAAGTTTGTCTTTCTTTTATGTTTTCTTTTTGTATTTAGTCTCTACATTGCTTTGAACAGGTGGGTGAGTCAGCTTCACTCCTGCTTGGTCATACACTCATCCCTGTAATATCTAACCATCATTTTTGCCATTTGTACCATTACAGTGAAGTAAGGATGAGAGCTGTACCCTTATTCTTTAGAAAGCACTTGACACAGTTTTTAATACTGTGGAAGCTCTGAGATCTTTTTCAAACAACCAACTCTATATATGTTGCATATTTTGTAAATTGATGTTTACATCAATTCCCAATTAATCACTGCTCATTAAGCTTTTAATTTAATTTTGCATAGCAAAAATTATTGCAAAATAGAATTGTTTTGAGTGAAGCATGAGCCTGGCCACAGCTTAATAAATATTTCTGCATGAAGATCTTAGAGCTCTCTAAGCCTTCTAAAGACTGCCAGTTAAATCCAGGCAGTTGGAAGATGTTTATTTAGTAATGTGGTGATGACTGCTCTGCCTTTTCTTGTGGATTTGACCTCCAAATAAAAGGCTATAAAGACATTATTTGCCTGCTGAGAATAAATCCCTCTCTGCACCAGGATGTAAAAGTATAGTGATGGTGATGTAAATATGTATTATTTGATCATTTTTATATGTGATAACTCCAAAAGTTTATAACTGGGTAACAGGATTTGTAAATTATCCATGAGAATACTGGTGGATTTCTAAATTATTTTTTTTTCCCTACAGGCTGGCTTGTGGACACAACTGGCAGCTATACTGCATCATTTCTCCTGTGTGGATTTTCTATGATATTTAGTTCAGCACTATTGTGCTTTGCAAGACTAGCAAAGAAAATCAAAAGAACACATTTGCCATCCCTCACCGGTAACACAGCCTTGAAACAGCACATCTGGACAAATGGAGCAATAGCTTATTCTGTCACAGCAGAGTTAGACCAAAGGGATGTTGAATTTTTGGCTGTGGATACAAACAGCTTCAGCAAGAGGTGACAAGTGCTGTTGTGATTCAGTAGGGCACAACCTGAGACAGATGTGGCTCAGTGGTGTTACACTGTTGAATATACTTCTCCTGTGAAACAAGACCTCTCAATTAGATTGTTCTGTCGTGTTTTAGTTGGCTTAAATCTACATACAGCAACAGTAATACCAAGTTGATGCAGTAATAGAAGAAAGCTAGACTGAAAATAGAGTTTGTAGATACAAGTGTTCACAGATTTATTTGAAATGCAATGTTGACTCCACAGGGATCAGTCACCAAAACTGAACAATAACATTTACATTTAAAAATACTATTAATGACCCAAGCTTTTTCATTTGGGTCTAGTATGTTTCAATGGACTAATTACACACACCAAGAAAAAATCTCTGCATTTATCAGTCTGCATGAAACTCTTTGCAAATGAGTGTTTCAAATGCCAAAGTCATCTGTTTGTTTTGCTTTTGTTTTGTTTTTGGTTGGTTTTTTTTTTAAGAAAATCTGGCAGGAAACTGATTTATGCTGAAAGTATCTCTGGAGCAGCTTTAATTTTTACAATGTGCCTGAACTTTGTACATACATTTCAACTTAATTTCAAATATGGTTTTAGACCTGCTTTCCCACATGCTCTATTGCAAATTTTACTTTTTTCCTTTTTTCTTCTGGATACCTTTAAAATTTGAACTTCTAAACATTGACATGCAGAGTATGATCTTTCAGCTAATCCTTGTCTTGGAGGGTGGAAAATGTGTAGTGGTGGCTCTGCTTATCTGAAGAGGAGTAAATTTGTACCATGGGACCGGGCATGCTGATAGACAAATGTGCTTTAAGTGCATTAGTTGGAAGAAGCCCAAAGGCAGCCCAAGAGACCAGAGAGGCTCCGGTGTTTTCAAACCCAGAGCCTTTTCCTCTTGTAAAATCAGCACCTATTAGAGAACTTTAGAGTCCATGCAACCAGGTGGCTGAGAGATTGCCCACCCTGGGCTGATAATGGAGAGGATGTTGGCAGAATTGTTTCTGTGTATTGCAGGGGCAAGTCTGTCTCTTTTCAGACCCAGAAACTGCATCTTCAGGTGGTGCCAATTGCTCATTTGTACCATCTGAGGAGCTGTCAGCTCAGTTCTCCTTGATGGCCAGAACACAAGAGCTGTGACTTGCTGACAGTCTCCTGCTGCTTGTGTGAGGAATATACTGCAGCTGGCTGCTTCACAGGAGCTAGGGAGTGCATGTAGCTCATGGAGTAACTTACTGATGTGATGGTCTAATAAATACTGTGATTTTGTACATTTCCAGAGTGAATACATTGTCAGCAATGGAAAACTTCACATTCCACAATACAAATAGTTTCCGTGTTTTAATGCTGTATCAAGCTGTATTCTGTTCATTAACAAATTGATCAGAGTCTAAATAATTTTCACTTACACTGAACTAGTAGTTTTGTTATTCTGCAGTGTGTTCAATGGCTGCTCGTGGTGTCCTTTTCCACTCTGTGCCTTGGAAGTGAAAGCAACATAGACTGATATTTATCAATTTGATTTAGACCAAGAGTACAGCCATAGGAGTATAATGTATTTTATATACACACACACATATATATGAATAGCATGTGTATCAAGTAGTTTTGTTATCCAAGTGTATTTTAAATACAACATATTAAAATAGATTTGTGTTTAAATTAAGCCTTTCTTTCTGTCCTGCTTTAGGAATGTAGTCAGAGCCCGTAGCATGATCTATGTGCACAGACCACAGAATAAGCAATAGCAGTGCAAAGTCTTCTTAAAGCCAATGACATAACTTTTCTTCAGCTCAGCATGAAAATTGACTCTTGGGCCCCAGTTTAGTTTTTAACATATATTCATTAAAAAAACCAAAAATTATCCATGGGTGTTTCTTAATGAGTTAGGAAAAATATGCACATGTGGAAAAAAATTAATTGGTTTTATTAATTAGTACTGATGAAGATAATGTTTTAGATCTTAATATTTTAATATTTTAAAAAGTAGGGAATAGTGTGGTCAATCAAAAATACAATTTTTTGGAACAAGTTATAAATTATCACTGTAAATAAATTTACAAAAAATTAATTACTTTGTTTATCACATCACAGCACATCATGGAACTGCATATTGTAAAAGCCTGTTGGAATAATGCTATATGTATTTTTATCATAGTAAATTATACTATGTAATATGTTATTAGCATTTTCTTATTATTTCAAGATTTTTTTTCATATGCTTTTCCCTTTTTTTTTTTAAGCACTACTTACTGTTTTAAATATCTCATTTAGCAGCAAACATTCAACTGGTTTTATCCACAGACCTTTTGTAGAAAATGGTAAAATTCTTTCAGGGCTTTCCAATACTGTCTCTGCTGTGACTAAAGTCAATGGAGAAAAGCTTATATACTGCAATAAAGACTTCTGTGCATAAAGGACACTGTGAAATATCAGCCCTGTCATGAATGCTCCCACTAAGAAACAAAAGGAAAGAAGCGGAGCAGAAATGACCTGCAAGTGGAAGAAATGGGAATGCAATCCAGGCTGGTGAAGCCTCAGGCCAAACTTCCAGCTCCTGCTCCACAGAACCCAGGCTGAACAGATCACCTTCATCCTGCCATGTGAAATATTTCAGGCAATGCATTACAGAAATCCCTGGCTCACAATAGCTTTAAAGAACGATTTATGGTATCGGCAATATTTTTTTTTTCAAAGATGATAATATTCAGGCAGTCCTCCATGGAGGACATTTCCTGGCATGGCTTAGTATGGGAATAAATCAAGATACCCGAGCTAGCTGTGAACAATTTGCCAGATGAACACTGCATGTTTGAGGATTTAGGGGTCTTTTCCACCCTTAACTATCCTGCAATTCTGTGTTCCCACCAGCCCTGATGGACACAAGCGTTGATGGGTATGAGCTCGGCTGGAGCACTGCACTGCTGAGCCTGTCTGGCTCCCCAGGACAGCGTGGTGGGACTTGGCTTGGGGTAACATCTGTCCAACAGATCCTGCCTCAGATGGATCCTACCTGGGATTATGCTCTGCTCTGTGCAGTGGATGGAAGTTCAGTGAAGTGGAAGTGAAGAGATGGAAGTGAAACTGCTCACAGCTGCTGAAGTTATCTCATGTGTCTCCATTCCACGGGGTTTGAAATGGGGAAATAATAATTATTTTGAAATTATTTATATTCTAGTGATAATCTGGAACATTTAATAAATTGTACCTTGGAAAGTTGTGTGAAAGCACCATTGAAAAAGTCAAGTACCTTCTGTTGAAAAATAACTCTTTTTTTCAGAAAAAATATTCCTGAAACATTCCTATCAGCTTGGATAATAATTTATCTCTGGAAAGACAAAGGCTGTGTTACTATACGGTGAATGTATTTTATATTGCCAAACATTGTTGCTTTGTAAAGTGTTACAAATTTATGTGAGAAGGAAGAGCTTGTTTAACTTAAACTGTAACACTACTTCATGGTCAGCACGGCAAAGTCCTTAGTAGGGTTTGCCTCAATAAATAATACCTTCTTCTTAGTGATTATTCTGGTGTATTTCAGTAAAATTTTCTATATACTTTAGAAGGTGCTTTTGAGTCATAAATTGATACTTCCTGAAGTGTTATTTTCAGTCATTTTCCCCCTACACAGCTAGCATCAGCTTCAGGGTTGTATTCATATTTGGGTGTGAATTAATTGACAGGTGTGTTCAGCCTCTGTGCAGTTCTAGTTTTGCCAAAAACCCCCACGTATTTCTCAAAAATGTGTGTTTCATTTTCTCTAACTCCCGAAGCTCCAACTCAACCTGCTCCCGTGTCGCCATTCCAGGCAATGCAGCAGCACCACCCTGTGGGAAATAACGCTTTTCCTCATTTACCAGACAGGCAAATCCAGAAGGCTGGATACCTGGGAGCATCCCCAGGCATCTGTGGTCCAGAGCTGTCCTGCAGAGTACAAAGGAGGTGAGGCACAACAAATACACCTTTTGCATTACTATGCCTCACAGTTTCTTCACTGTGCAGATTGAGCTGCTATGACTCTTCATAAAAATTCAGGCTCACTTTTTTTTTTTTCCAAAATAATTTATACCTTATCCTTATTTCTTCAAGGTTCTTTTTTCAGGAGATATCCTGGTGGCAGTGTAGAGGGGAGAATGGATGTGTCACCATGGCTTGCACCATGTCTTCCGTGAATTCTTCCCTCCTGCCCTCCACCCTCCATGCCCTCAGTGGAATTTAGATAGGACTGGTGCTGAGTTTAGAAGCTCTCAAGGTTCACAGAGGCAGTGAGATTGTCTGACAGACCCTTTTGTCCCCATAGCTGGGCACAGCAATGTCATGTCACCAGTTCCTGAGTTTGCCCCCACTGCTGCTGCAGCCAGCTTTCAGGAGTGGTCTGCCAGAACTGTTCCCAGTCCCCCTCTTCTCCCTCCTCACCACTCCTTCCCTAGGCAGGGTTGCCTTTGTATGTAACAGAGGATCTGGCAGGTGGCTGGGAAACAAGGGTGGATTTTGGTCCAGCTGATTCTTAGGAAGAGAGTGTTTGCAATATGTACACTTGATTGCTTTTGCTCGTGGTATAAAAGATTCTCTGAAGGAGAGCTGAGAAGGAAGAGGTTTATTGTTATTTTGTGATCTGGCATCAGTGTTTTGCACTCCTTCATGGCTTGTCATCCTGTCTGTATGGGGTTGCTGTTGTGGGTGCAGGAACGCTCCAGGATGGCTAGAAACTAAAGTGCACATCCTTCTTGATGGGCTCTGTCACCAGTTTGCTTCATGCTACACTAGTGGCTAGGGCTCAGAAACATTTTGGAAGTAGAGCATTAGTTTTCCCTGAGTACTATGCTCTATCAAACACAGGGACATTACTGGGAAATTAGAAAAGGATACTACAAACAATAGCAAAATTTAGTTGGACAGCTGAAGACTTTTGGCATTTTAGTGCTTTCTTCCAACTATGTAGACCCTATGGGCACCTGTGGAGGCTCAAAGTCCTGCCACTGAAGTGACAGCACCTTAATCTATGAGGAGCAGAAACAAGTGAGGGGAAACATCCCTCTTCTGTTAGGGTGAGAAAAGCCTCCCTGCCATGGGCCTCTGCAGGCACATGTTAATATTTCCAGTTTCATTGGCTCTCCCAGTTGTTCCACCCCTGTTATCCCATTCATTCCCCTAGTTTGCTGACTCCCCCCTGCACCACTTTTCCCTGTTCCCACTGGTCCTCAGAGCCACCCCTTTTTCCCCCCATATTTAACCCTGTACCCTCCACCCTCTTCTGTGTCTGTCTGTGGACCTTCTTGGAAGCAGTAAACAGCTGTTGGATCCCCAGACAAAGACCTGTCCTTTGCCTTTCTTCATTAGCTTTTCTGCAAGTGTGCTCCAGGCCCCGAAAGCGCGGGTTGCTCTCTGGGACTTGTTGAAGTGGGCTGTTTTAGGCACCCACCCCTTTTTCCACATGCCCCTTGTGCTCCCCTGCCCTGCTCTGGGGCACTCACCCAGCTCTGCTCTGGCTGTGCTCTCCCCTCCGTATCCAGTTCAGGTCATTTCTTGTGTATGTTTGCTATCCCTGGCTTTTTTGACAAGCATGGCCATAGCCATCTATTTGGCATCTCAAAGAGTGCCCTTCCTTCCTCCCCAGAAGTTGTGGTTCCTGATAGGGTGTTTTGGGTAAACTAGACAGATGTTGTTTTGTGCACAGTTCAATTCTTTTGTGCAAGGCCCCTGGAGCCAGTTTTGCTGAGAGGTCAGGGAAAATAAATATGAAAGGCTCCTCAGCCTTTCATATCCTACCAAAACTTTATCCTTCTTACTTTTTGGAATGGCTGTTTCACTTTACTTAATCTACTAAGATGAAGGCCAGTTATCAGAAAGATACTCAGAAGCAATAGTCAACAGATTAAACAGACTTTAGTAGTTCACAGCAATAGTACACATTTTGTAAGCTTCCAGTGGACTAGCTAAACAGTATTTGTTTTTCATAATTACACAGCATACAAGGTAGTAAACTGAACAAGCCTTCAACAAAAGTTTCTTCTACAAAAGATATTTTTGAAATACTTAAAAAAGCTTCAGAAATTCTATTTGTGTATAAGCATGCCTTCAAGTATACAGACAAAATACTACTGTATGATTCCCTTATC